GTCGCAACGCGGGCCGCTGATCTTATCGATGAAGGAGATCATCCACGCGCAGGCGAGCGGCCCCCGGTGTGTCGTCGCCTGTGCTAAACCGGATTCAATGGCACGCAGAGTTGGTGCGGCAGTTCGGCAAAATAGTCACTAGTGGGCAAATGTGCCCTCAGCGAATATCCGTTCTGGGCCAGATTTTCATCCTCCGTGATTCTCGGAGGCCTGCATTCAACTGCCGCTGTTTTTTTTTCTTTGACATGGTAAAAAATCTGAGAGGATGGATAATACTAGCCATAGGCTTTCCTATGCACTTTGCTCCCCCCTTTGCCAGTTTTATCACAGAGCCATCTAGAGAATATTGACAATATAGATTCTTAAGTACTGTAGTAATTAGACCACAAGTTCATCAATTTTGAATTTTTTCATGCCTGAGAGGGGGGGGGATTTTTCTTTTTTTTATAATGTTTCAAGCGCACGGTGTATAGTTTTTGACTGAACTTGAACTGCTTTCGACAAGGGAGCATGCAGTTTATAACCTTGAAAGACGTCAGTAAGTGGTAATAGAGAAACGAGAACAATGACGTACATAATCCTGACTGATTTAGCTTCTATAACTCGTTTTTCTGACAAACGGAGATAAGATACAGATAGCCCTCAAATGACTCCATTGCACAATAAAAACAAGGACTCTGGACTCTTGGCCCACTAAACAACATGTCTATTGACTCCTTTATTGCCGTTGTCGAACCACCTCCCGCCCCTGTTATCTTACTGCTCGCCCATACCGACATGGCTAAACCAATCTTTCCCAGACTCCTCATGCATGAAGACCTTGACCAGCCTGGTAATTCACTCATGTCAAAGAAAAAGACAGTTGCTTTCATGCCGGCCGCTGCGCCATCAGTAGCTGCAGCGGCAATGCCGCTCTTTGATCCAGCCTCCCCAAAGGTCGCCCCCCCTACATAAAGGAGCTTCCCACATCAAGCTAGAGCAGTATCTTGCTGGTTATCTCTGGCCAGAGTTTTGTATCAAAGCCCTCATCGTGCATCACTTTCAAATTAAAAGTTGTCGTTCTTATTTCCTTCTTTTAGAAGTTTGTCTAGAAGCAAGGTGCAACAAGTCTCGCCCACAGCCTTTCTTATGACCAGCAGGACCAGGAGCTTGTAAAGAACATCATGAATGCAGTACATGCGTTGCTATGCATGTCACTGATGAATCCTTCTCATATACGTGTTTGCATGCAGACAATTCACAAATACCCCAAGGTGGACAGATTCGAGTCCCAGTGGCCCATCGAAACTGTGCTGATCAATTTCTGCAAGAATAAAGTTAAGAAATATAAGGAGAAGGTGAAATCTGACAAAGCTTGTGAGTCGAACTCAGATAAAGAAGCCAAGGTGCCGCCGAAATGAACTCTGTGCAAGTAGGTCTAGTTTTGTTGCTCAGTTGCCTATCTGATAGTTTCAGTGGTCTTCATAAGATATATGCATACACGCACTTGTTTCTACATAAAATCCATGCCATTTTGTCTTTAATTAAACCCTGTTTGTCTTTAATTAAACCCTGTCAAAGTCTGGAAACAATCCTTGGAGGATGGTGTCAGTCGTGATCACGTGTCTCAGTGTTGGCCGATGGATTAGTCATCGGCCGATGCCATCATTCTCGCCGAGCCAATTCACGTGTATCCCTAACAAACACAATAATGCCAATAGGGAAAACAATTAGCTTGTTTGATTCTTTAAGGCTGGGGCATTAACACATCACACATCTCAGCAACACCTCATTCCTCCCCAATGCAAACTACCTGAACATACCCATGCACGGCCAACTGTTCGTCTCTCAAACAGGCTACGTACATGTCAGATCTGCATCTATCATGTCCAGCTGACTGACGTGTATTTTAGAAGAACCGCATCAGGCGGAACTTTGTATTACTATGCTATTCCACCTACGGCTGTGCTATGGTAACATCTACCCCCATTCTGCATTGTCTCTTGTTATGTGACATGTGACACAGTGTCCAAAAAGGGAACTTTTTGTCAATAGCCACTATTCGGTAACTGTGCCACACTGTAATATAGAGTGATTGACAAATTTCTATAAAAGGAAATTTTTGTCCTATGAGAATACAATCATTGCAAAATCAAAGTTATATATTTTAATAATATAAACAACTTTTACTAAGTAACATAATATAACTTTAAGGAACTTGGTCTTGATGGTCTGTATTATATTATTCACCTTTGTTCACCCCCTAGCTATTCGACTTAGCAGAAATTTGCCTTGGAGTTCTGAATTACTCACCCCCCCTTTCCATACATCATTCACCACTTACACTACCAAAGTGTCTGTAGCTGTTATCTAGCTGGAGATTCCAGCTGGAGGTTCCAGTTGGCTCCCATCTAAGGAATCACATGGCTCCAGGTGGGTTCCCTCTGATTTCCAGCATATTTGCACAGCTGGAAATTCCGGCTGGAATCCAGGTAATATGTTTGCATATATCCCAGCATTCTTGTTATAGTCTCATACAGACTGAATAAAACTCTAGAATTGTTGAATTAGCTAAATTTCTGCTATCCATAAAAGCATCTACCAACACAAAACATATAAAAGATGACTTTAGGGCCAGCACTAGTGACTAGACTTGCATGTCTGCGTGAGCTGACAGTTGGGATCAACAATTGAGCGCCCAATGCTATAATTTGATTTGGATGCTACATGAAAATTTGGCTGCTGTCATGCGGCATAACACACACATTTCTTCTTCTTCTTCCCTTTGCTCCCATCTCGCCAATAAGTGCTCAACCTGTGCTGTCGCACACCCACAGGCTGAGCCGCTATGTTCGTACCTTTCCCCTTCTCGTCGCCACTACTGACCAGCAGCTGCAGGCAACCTGCAGAGAAGACCAGCAGCACTGCGCTGCTCTCCAACAACAGCCTCCCTGTGCATCCCCCTTCCCTCCTCTCCTTCTCACTTTGTCTACTACACGTTTCTAGGCAGTCTGAGCTGACTAGCGACCAGCCAGTATCGTAACCGCTGTCCTCTGGACCTCGCGCTTCTACTCAAGTGTGTACCCTGCTGCTGCTCCTGGTATATGCACTCACTTCCTTCTGCTCTAGCCTGGTCCAACATCTCTATACATGCCCCACCCATCCCCTGGCTCACTTTCCCTCCCCTCCAAATTGCGCTCCTTGGCATTGCGCCGCTGCTAGCTGCGTGTAAGTATTGTTGGCACCACTTGTTTTCCTGGCGGACAGAGGCGTGGTTGTGCTATGCGAGTGCTGGGTCGTCCGGGCGAGCGGGGGGCGCTGGAGGAGTAGGAGTAGGTGGAGTGGCCGATTGGCGATGCGAACGCACAGGAGCGGGGGCGGGTGGGGGGGGGGGACAAGAAGAAGTATAACCAGGTGTCAGAGGGCAGATCGAGCATTCCAGTAGCATAGTCTTTGAATTCAACACATTTTTTTTTTGCATGAGCCAAATTTTGAATAACCCAGCAGGCAGAGCATTGAAAGCATGAGGATTACATTAAGTAAGCTCCAAGGCAGCTAGCGGGGTCTCCAGCTGGTTTCCAGGAACTCTGGACCCAGCATGGCCCATTTGCATCCAAATATGGATGACAGCTGGTGTCAATCCTGGCGAGCTCATTTGTGTACTATTTGTTCAAATTCTACGTAGCCCAATTAAAATTTTGCATTCAAGTCAGCCTAATTCTACTACAGATTGATCTAAAATCAATTACAGTTTCTGTTCCAGCTGATATTTTTCCTTTTCCGGTGTGACAGTACTACTAGTATCACTGTCCATGCCAGCCATTTGTAAATATTTGCAAATGGTAATAAACATTTAAATGGCTATTTTATTTGTGAACTTGGGCAAACAGAAATCAACTACAAATAAATAGTTCAAATGGTTTCCACTTCTAGCAGACTGAAATCAATATTAACACTGCAGTTTAGAAACACTTTGACACCGTGTTGAAAATCACATTTCATGTCTCCAAAGCTCAAATCATATTTTCTTACTATTCAACAAGCTTTATGTTTCCTGATTTGGTAATATAATCAACAGGAAGGTGATTTTGATGTTGGTATTGGATTGAATGATCATGCTTCCTCTTTGTGAATGTACACTGGGCCATAAAAATAGATAAGGTATATGGAATAACTTGAGAACAGACTGCTCATTGAATTGTGTCTGATTACCAGATATAAATAGTTTTAAACATTTATTACTGTTGATGTTTATGTTTATGTTTCTATTTTATTTGAAATTTTCACAAACAGAAATAAAATAGTTCGAGCCATGATCCCTTCCACTCCACAACAACGCCGCGTTTGCTCCGGAGTCCGCGTCTTCTCACCTTTCGCTTCTGGGCCAGGCTGGCTAGATCCGCCCGCCAACACCCTATTCTGATATCCCTGCGAGCGCATGGCGCGGGGAGCGGCGAGCTCTGAGGTGCATGCGGACGCGCTATCTCATCGATGGAGCAAATCATCGAGTCGCAGGGTTGCGGCTGTGCTAAGCTAGATTCGAATTCAATGGCAGGGTCCTGACTGCGGTGAGAGTTGGTGACTCAGGCGGGGTGCGCGTGACGGCCATGCGTCCCTTTGGGCCAAAATACTCACTGGTGGGCAAATATGTCATCAGCGAATACGTGCTTCTCCGGAATGCCCGGCCCCTGCCACCAGGACGGTCCGGTCCGAGTAGCCGGCCGGTTTCGAAACTGTGGGGGTGCTTCGAAACCGGTGTTTCGCGACCACACCGCCCCAGGAATTACTCCCAAGCACCCTGGCTATATGCACGCTATATGTACTTGGTGTCGAGGAACGGGCGTCGTCGTCGGTTCATCCTTTCCGCAACTACTAGTATTCCCCGGCCCCCTTTTCCCTCCCTTCAAGTTCTTGCCGCCAGTCCGGCTTTTCTTTCCTTCATTTGTGTTTGCGCTAGATCGCAACTTTCTTCTCTGACTCATCCGCCCCCGCCGTGACGACCTTCTGCTACCGACCAAACGATGCGCTTCTCGACAAGTACTTTCCTGGTTTCGCTCCTCCTGACACTGCCCGTGCTTGGGCGGCCTACCGTGGCGGACGACGCCGAACTAATGGTGCGCCGAGTTGCTTCCTCTGCTCTATCTTTCCGTCGTATTGAAGCGGCTTACGGTATAGGCGCTTGAGGCTCGTGCAGCGCGCAGGGCACCGAAGCCCAAGGTGCCGCTGACGCCGAAGCCCGCCACCGCAAAACCCGTATGTCGCTGGCCGCTGGTCATCTGCACTTTTACCCCAACTGTTACTGACTGCGATGTAGCCGCCAAAAAAACCCGCAACAGCTTTGAAGAAGCGGGTGCGTAATCCCGTGTTTGTCAGCCAGGCCGCTCACTGCCTCGGTACGTAGGCGACGAAGGCTCCGGCCAAAGCGCCGGCCAAGGTGCCGTCAAAAGCGCCAACGAAAGCCCCAGTAAAGGCTCCAACGGCAAAGGCACCCGCTAAAGCCGCCGCAAAGGTTCCAGCAAAAGTCCCCGCGAAGTCACCAGCTACCACGCCAGCACAGGCACCTGCCAAGAACGCACCCGCCAAAGCACCTGCAAAGGCACCCGCGAAAGCGCCGCCCTCAAATGCTCCGACCAAAGCCACCCCCAAAAAAGCGTGCTCGCAGGCACAGATCGACAAGGAGTTGGAAGCACGATATGCCGAATTCGCGGCGCCAAACCGCCACGAGGTCCGCGCGCGCGTATCGCACCCTAGCGCGAAGGGCCGCATCACGCTCTTCCATGGCACCGATCCGCGCAACGCCGCTTCCCTGGCAGCCGGCGTGAACCTAGTGGCGACCGCCCCAAGGGGCGACTTCAACCACTTTCCCGAGGTGCCCGGCGGCTTCTATCTCACCGACAGTGTCATTGCTGCAGCACAATTCGCGTGTTTTGGAGCTGCAATAGTTCCACGAGAGCCACCGACAAGTGTCGATGTCTTCGGTATGTTGTTTCGAGCCCTCTAAGCTGAGACATATGAACCATCCGTTGCAGAGTACGCCTGGAACGGAATTGGTGCTGCCGTATTCGAGTTTCCGGGGCAGACGAACGACTGGGCCGATGTGCGTGTGTTCATGCCAGTGATCCCCGCATAGCCACTCACCCACATGTTATTGCAGTTTCAAGTCTATAACCGCAATCAGAATCTCGACAGCGAAAATACCGCAAGTCCTTTCCATGCCCAAGCCATCGAGATATACAAGAACGTGCTGATTTCCGGGCCGATGAACGACCCTGCCGGTGCGTCTTCTCTTCAAGTTTGCTAGACCTGCTGCTCATACGTATCCGCAGATGAAGACCTGACTGATGACTTCCAGCAATACACTATCGTCGATCAAACAGCGGTGACTTTCCGCCTCACGCTGGTCGCGCAGCACCAGAACATCATCTGCAACAACGTGCCCAAGGCCAATGCGCTGACGTCGAAGCTGTACACCAGGGGCCAGGGTGGGAACCCCAAGTTCCAGAAGCTCCTTACGAAGCTCCAGACACCGAACTTTGTGTCGACGTCTCAAAATTGTTTTTTTCAGTAGGTGGTGGAGATGTGTTGTAGCACTTACTGAGTATGTACTTGATGTATATAGTAAACTTCAAAGAAAACTTCCGATGACGCTGTCTTTCACGCATTCACGCCGGTTTTGGCTGGGTTAGGCCTGTGTTGGCTTCAGCAACTATGATGGAAGAGGATATGGAACACGCACGTAATGCCTCGTGGACATATGCGAGCTTTCCGGACCCGGCACCCCAGGCGTTCGCAAAGCCATCGTGATGAAGAGAGAGTTCGCTTGATGCGCCACACCACGCGTGGATGAAAGTAGCGTGCTCACGATCTGCTCTGTGGCCCAGGCCGCCTAGCGGGACCGACGCACGGACGCCGCCGCCGAGACCGCATCGAAAAACGGCAAGCGATCTCTTGAACGTCCTGAGCGTCTGCCAATAGGTGATTTCCAGCAGTAGAAAGCACCGCTTCGCCGTTGGCTGAGACAGTATCTGGCACAAGCGGTCGCGTCTGAATCGTGGGCCGCGGCATGTCCGACGGACAGAGCCTTGTGAAGTGTCTTCAAGACACAGCACAGCAGTGCTGCACGGCGCATATTCGACCGAAATGCTCGTTGTCGTGGGAGAGCGAAGGTGTGACCGTGCGCGAGCCACGCGCCCGCACCCTCGCAGGCCAGGGCGCACGTGTCCGCGTTTCTCCATCGATGACTCGGATCGAATTCGAAGAGGCCAATGACGTCGCGTCGCGATCTGTGGGAGCGCGCGGCCACCCTGTCCGCACACGCATCTCGCGCCAGAATCGGCGTGCGTCGGGCGTGGTCTGCTGCCAATGCCTTCGAGTCTTCTGTGGGGGCAGCATGGCATTAGCACCTGCCTGCCAGTGTGGTTGGCTCGCTGCGCCGCGGACTCGGAGTTACGCTGGGCCTTCTGAGAAGCCGGCTGCCCGCGGTGTGCGACGGCGCCAGTTAGACTCGTTTGCGGGCATGGGAAGAGAACGGCCGGGGCGGGTAAAGAAAGGGCCCCGCGTGCGAGTTGGCACGTGGGTGGCGATAGACGGCGGAGATGTTTGTTGGGGGCGAGCTGGGACTTGTGGCGCGAGCGCTAGTGCCAGCACTAGGTACGTTCGGCTTAACATCGATGGTGGCCGTGCGGAAGAAACCAGGGGAAATAGTGTCACACTCACGTCGGCAATCACGAGTCAGCGCATCAGATCGCTAGCATTTTTTTCCGGTCCGCCCCGATCGCTGACGCCGTGAGCAGCGGTGGACCATCGGCGCACCGCCGCATACACACACATGGTTGGCTAGATTCACCAATCACATGAGCGCAGCTGCGGCCATCGCGCAGCAGCAGCCAATGGCAGCCGCAAGATTGTCACCGTACGTTGCCAGGCGCCTTCCACTCCACTCCAACGCCGCGGTTGCTCCGCGTCCCGAACTGCTTTCGCTTCTGGCTAGATCCGCCCGCCAATAACAACTATCATAGGTGAATCGATTCTGGCGCACGACATCCGACGTATCCCCACCTCCGCCGCGCACCTCCGCACCGACCGGCTAATCATCGCCTCGCAGTGCGGTGTCTGGGGTCCTTCGCCACCGCCGCCGCATCACGCCGCCCGATTTGGCGCGCCTTGCCCCATGCGGATATACCCGCGAGCGCGTGACGCGGCGAGCGGCGAGGGTATCGATGAAGCAAATCATATGATCATTGAGTCCACTAGCGGCTCCGCCTGGTCTAAGCTGGATTCCGCAAAACCAGCGCATCTGCCAGCAGTGGCAGGAGACGCTTGGTCGAGTCGCCTGCGAGCGTGTCGAAGTCCGACTCATCAATGAGCAATACGAGGCCAACACCGCCAAGTGGTTTGCGCAATCTGTCCCAAGGGGCCCGCGGATCAGCAGGCCGGGACAGTATGTCACGTGTGACATAGGGTAGGGGGCATTGGAGCAGGCATTATTTCACTTTTTGGAAAGGTGGTCCAGTAGTCATCTAGGCACTAAATTCTAAATCTGTCCTCTGTTTCAGCTGCTATGTGAGCTTTTCGAAGCCTTTTTGTAGGCACCCAATACTGATGAGTCACATCTTGATGATATGTCACATCAGCAAGTCATTGATCTTCTTGCCTTCTACTACCACCCTTGTCCAAACAATAAAAAAACGTGCAATGAAACGTGATGACACAAATCACTATGCCCTGAGTGTCAAATGGGGGTAGACCGAAAGCTGCTGTTGTCAAAACTTTTTGAGATTACGATTGACTGTCTGCCGAAGCTTTGTAATAGCATCGAATGTTTCCTGGAGCAGATGCTCCTTGTGATTTTTGAACTGCTCTAACTGCAACCACAACAAGAGAGGGAAAAAAAGAAGAGGAAAGATATTGAACTCTGGGGGAAACTCTGATGGGGAAGGAGAACTATATGATATGAGACCTAGACTACACCACAACAGGATCTCCACCTGTAGTGAGCCCTTCCTCAATAAATGTGTTGAGTTCACCCTGTTTGAGCAGAGAGAGAGAGATCAGATATACCTTGCAATTGGCAGGCCTTTGCGTTGAGAATGAGTTCAATGATGAGATGATATTTTAATGACTCCAACAGCTACAGGGGTAATTCAAGCACAGCTAAGGATACCTAAATGGTAGGATCAATATCTCTACTCTGAAATGTACTTTTCGGGGGGTTCTGTGGTGCCTCCATATATTCCGATAGCACAGGTAGGCAGCTCTAACCACGTCTATTGTCATATGAGTGAGTGCACTTCCTAAGAGCATTAACCACTACCATAACCATGTTGAACCCATGTGCCTCAGGGAACTTAACAAAAAGTCCACCGTGACAGTGTGCCAGTGTTCGGGGGGGGGGGACTTTCAAAGGGTCGGGTGTAGCTCGGAAGTCTTCAGCAGCGTCCAATATGGCAAGACATCTGCAGCCACCAGTAATTGCACGAGACTAGCTCCAAGGTCTTGAACCGCCCTGCATGCCCGGCAACTTGCATATTGTGGCAGAGCTGAATGATGAGTCCTCTCAGGTCTTTGTCTTTAGGAACTTCAACTTTGCTGCAGAAGTACAAGAGCTCACCCGAGACAGCCCACTTGTCCAAAATGAGGCCTAAACTTGACCTTGGACCTTCACGAGTTGCCGGCTGCAAGGGAGACGGGCTCCTCTAGGTCAGGTTCACTGGATAGTGCTTCTTTGATGTCGCAGACAAATTCGAATCCCGGCCCAGAGACAGTGACGGCTTCGAGCGCACGAATGTAGATAGAGATGCTGTAGTCAGGCCGACCAGAGAGAGCATCAGGGCGGCCAATATGGCGACCTGGGATGTGGTGTAGCATGAAGTCAAACCTAGAAAGGTACAACGACCATTAGGTTTGCTGACAATTGAGGTGCTGTGGCTTTCCAAAGTACTTCAAGTTCTTGTGGTCAGTTTAAATCTCAACCAGATATGTGGCGCCCTTGAGGAAATTTCAATACTCCTCGCACTTGAGGCAAAACTAGACAACCTCACCAATATTCTCACTAATCTTGCTTCCCGGGCTTCTGCTGCTGCACCACCTTCGGCAGCTCCACACCGCATTCAGCATCTCCGAATGCCCCCGACTTGGACATGGATTACTGGCGCCTCAAAATTAGTCCTCTGACCAAACCCCTGTTTGTGTTTAACGGAGATTGCAAATGTGGCCGTGCCTTCCTATATGTGGTCAAGACTTATGCCCGGCTTGCCCCAGAGGCCTTTGTGGTCAATGGAGAGCTGAGTGAAGAAAAGGCCATCCTGCTACACCAATCCTGCTACACCACATCTTATATGGCGGAGTGACCTACTCAGCAATGGGCAGAGCGTCATGGGAGCAAAACCCTATTCCTCTCCAAGTTTTGCCTTCGGTTCGTCAAGGAGAATGAGCAGGACCTTGTGCTCATCAAGCTGGAAAGCATATGTTGTCACATGGGAACGCAGGACATCTACGGATATACCGATGACTTTGAGGACTTGATAGACCTTGCCCAATTTGAAGACACGCTGGTCAAGGTGACAAAGTACCACTACGGACTTGACCCCTTGATCAACAACAGTATCACATCTTCAAATGACCCCCCAGATCTCTGTGACTATCTGGGCTGGCGCACTCGGGCTTTCCAACAATATGGAGCCTTGGTGTAGGTGAAGCTTATTAAAGGAATGACCCCGCAGCAGGCGCTCCACGTGCTGCCTTTCACCTGTTCCGCAACCCTGTTTCCCATCCACCCAGTGGCTCCTCCAGCGCCACTCATGGCCTGTGCCCCCGTCTTGGTGCCTTGGGCCCCCATTCCAATGGAGCTGGATTGCACCAGGGCTTGGGGTGCCCCTTGTCGAGCCTGCTTCAGATGCGGCGACCCCAATCACTTGGCTCAGGATTGCCCACTCCCCACCGACGTCCGCCATATAAGCATCCTCGACGAGGTAATCCAGCAACTATGCAACAAGATGTTAGCAGAATTTCGCCCACTACTCTGACACGGCCGCCCTAGCAGAGGCGCATTCAGAGGCTCCAGCAGAGGATTTTGTCCCCCCGCAACAAGTTACTGGTGTGCCCTCATTCTAGCGATGGCCAGGTCCAGTTTGGGATTTCGGTTCGAACCCAAACCGGACCGGACTGAACGCGCGTTCGGCAAAGGCCGAACCGAACCTGGCCCTTGGTTCAGCCAGGTTCAGCCATTTGGGGCCAAATAAAGCTGGTTCAGGGCCAGTTCAAACCGCCGTTCGGTGTTCACGTTCGGCAAAACCTGATTTTGAACTGAACCGGCAGTCCAGTGTTCAGCCAAAAATGGCCAAGAACCGAACCGAACCGGACTTGGCCATCGCTACCTCGTTTGTGTCCCTCCTTGGATGCATTCAGACAGTCCGAGGGAGGCCGAAGTAAGGGTTCCCCCAGACAATAAATTTCATTTTATGGAAAACCAGTGGTTTCCGCAAATCGAAACCAGTTTAAATATACACATCGGGGTTTAAGGGGGAAAAGGTGGCCCGAAGCTGGAGACAGATACAGGCCCAAATAACAGGGGCCGATTCTCACAGAAATCATGGGCCCTGATTTCCGTGTACATGTCTCAGAAATTACCGGGTCACATGCATAAAAATCTGCAGCTTTGATTTGGATCCAATCGGACGGCCACGTTTAGCGCTGCTTTTCCCACAAAAAAGTCCTACTTGGGGCCCCTGTTTTTTGCGTAAATCCCCGGTGTGATAGTTTTCCCTTTGCGGAAACCACTTGTTTTCTGTAAAATAAAAATTACTTTTCTTATCAACTTTTTAGAGCCGAATGACTCACGAGTGCGCTGGGCATGTTCTTGGTTAAAAAGTGTTGCTAACTGTGCTGAGCCTTCTGAGTATTCGCCCACCAGTAGTACCAAAGGGATGCGGGCATGCCATCAGGAAAATGACAAGTGCTTTTTTGATAGCTTGGGTAGTCCTTTATTCAGTTTTAGCTTTTGTGCGAACTTGTGCCAACCTTATGGACAGCTTGAATGACTTGTGATACTTTTAAGCTTTCTTCCTTTAAAAGCTTTGAAACTTTTTTAGCTTTGGATATTCTTGAAAATAATAGAATATCTGGAAATAATATTTTTTAAAAATTAAAATAATATTTCATGTGCATGGTAGTCTGCATACTTGTTTACATAAAATGCTTCAAATGCATCTAAAGAGTCTGAAAAGCTCAGGTCTTTGTCATCAGAAGGTAGAAAGTCCTTCCCAGCCACAGCAATCAAATATACTCCCTGTAAGATTGCATCAAGATGGACAACTGCTAGCAGGCGTTGTGTGCAGGCAGAACCCCGAACCCAGTCTGGCTTCACCATCCACATCCCAGTATCCAGACATGGGGCATCGCCATGAGCTGAGAACCAATAAACCAAGGTGCAGGGATATTGAATACCGCGGAATGTGAACTACATCAAAAGCCGAACACGGACAGCGTGAAGGCCACGGAAGCCCTGAGCTTCCGTGTCATGCTCGATGAGAGCACAGTCGTATCGAGGTGGACCACGGTACCATGACTTGGTGGCTAGAATTCATTCATGACGCATCCCACTGTCAGGGGAGACCCTGATGCCGTCACTTAATCCCATCAAGCGCCGCGTCTCCGCTCACGTCTCCGCGTCTCCACTCGCGTCTCCGTGTCTCCACCCGAGTCTCTGTATTCCTGCACCCTGACGCTCCTCCTCCACTTCTCCCACCACATCCCGCATCCAGTGGTCCCCAACCTCTGACTCCCATGGCCACCCCTTTCTGGGAGTCTCTCCGGAGTCACCATCAGGGATCACTAATGCCATCGGAGACCTCTCCAGATGTGGACGCACCACTTTCCTCTGAGACCTCGAGCCTATAGCCTTATAGCCTCTCTGGGCTGTCGCTCATCGAGGTCCCCCTGCAACCTCTACCCGTTGGACCTCTTGGGTGTCCCCAACCTATGTCAGTGTTTGGGCTTACGTTCGGATGGCTGAGCCCCGCCATGGCTCCGCCCCCCACTCCGCCACCACGGCCCCCGTCATCGGGTCTTCCTTTGGGTGAGGCCTACTGCCGTTAAGGCTCGTGCCTACTGCAGCGCCCCAGGCTGCATGCCCTCACACCTCCACCTCTCTGGAGACGTCCGGGGACATCTCTGAGTGACCCTCCTGTCGCTACCCTCCAGTGGTCATGGCTGGCCGCCATTCCCATTGGTCCTTTCCGACACTCCCCGGCCCTTGGGCTAGACCGACTCCTTCCCTCTCCGCTCCATGCCCCCCCTCTCCGTTTCCGGCCGTCACGTCACGGTCACACACCCGGAATCGATTCCGATTCCGATTCCGGTTGTCACGGTCACGGTCACAAGCGGAGACGCCCAGAGGCAGTCTGGACCCTCCAAAGCCCTTCCTGGGCCTTCTAAGGATGCCTGGGCTCTTCCCTTGGCATCATGGTCCCAAACCTGCCTCTCCGGAGCTTCGAGGGCTACTCGACACTCACCTAGGGTCCATTAGCAACACCTGACTTCTCACATGCGTCGTTTGTCGCTATGCAGTCACTCTATCATTACTCCGGTCACTAGTATATAGTAGTGCACCTGAGCAGAGGGCTCCTTGGCTTGTTCTCTAAGGATTCCCCCTCTGCTCAGGTGAGTCTGTAGTGTCCCTTTCTGTTGTAGTAGTTTCACTAAGGATTCCCCCTCTGCTCAGGACTCTGATTTCGAGCCTCGCGAGGTTGCCCTTACACCCACCAATTCCGCAGATGCCGCTAGGAGCATAAAACACTGCCCGGGCGGAGGTGTAGATATAGACACGTTCGGCGAAGTCTAGACAGTCATCGGGAGGGATAATGTCCTCAGTTGCTGCTCGCTCTGGATTGAGCTGTTCAAAAAGAAAGTGTCGAATGAGTTCATGAAGACGTGGCTGGTGTATATAATGTGCCAGCTGGTGTACGTCACAGGGCACCTTTCGAACTGGGAAGGCTTTATTAAATGCTGTAGTAAAGGATAGGAGGAAGACAGTACCACAGCTTTTTGCAAGGGTTACCTCCCCTAGGCAGGTAGGGCCTGGAACATCCCCTTCTTCCACATCATCATCAACAGTGGTCTCTACTAGTTGAGGTTCCTCCTCTACGGGCACTAGTGGTGATGTAAATAGCAACCCAGATAGCATACCACAGGCAGCGAAATCAGCCCGTGCAGTGGCAAGTTTGTCAAGTCGTTGGTTTGAGAGAAGCATTTGACCAAGGGGTTTATTTTGATTAGAGCGGCGGTATGGCCGCTTTACGGCCCAAATATGCTTCGACTTCGTGATTAAAGTCCATTTGGAACACTGAAGTCCATGATGCAAGCAATATAATGCTTCAGCGCATGCTGCCGAGGGAGCAAAAATCCTTGCGGACATATAACTCGGAAGGCCTCGCGGTAGTGATGATAGTGCCGAATCATCTCGTCAATTATCTGAAGGGTATCTTCATCAATTACCAAGCGGCAAACCAGGTAGCAGAATTCGATTAGCACTGTGACCGCCTGAACCATTTCACTTGGAACCTGGCCAATGATTGCTGGAAGATAGACCTTATATTCCTTTCAGTCCTGAATATAGTTCTTGATCTTGACTTACCTTCATTAAACCCTTTGAGTCATTTCCCGTCCACTGCTTAAAGCCTCGCCCGACAGGAAAATATCGTAGTTCTGGAAATGGTGGGGCAACAGCAATTCTAATATTATTATTAGCTGACAACAATGTCACGGTCCAGGTCGTCTGCTGGAGAGAGACAACTGAAACAACAGTGAGCTAGCGAGGACAAGAATCCAAATTACTTACATGGGACAATAGCCCTGGACAATACCTGTAAGAAGCGCCTGCTCCGGATAATCTGCAATATCCGGGCCAAAGCCATAGATGGCCCGACGAAAATATTGGTCAGCGCAATGAGTAACACGCGGGGTCGTCATGTAGGGCCGTACAGAGTCAAAGACTCGGCGGATAGACGAATGGAATAGCTGATACCGGAATTTGCAGAATTCATTGCTGTTAGCATATTGTCATGTTGCTAGCATGCATTACCATTCATCAACTAGATGAAAGAATAATGTACTTTTGGGAATAGCCAGGAACGCAAGCAAGGCAATGCCATCACCATGGCTGCGTCGTGCGCCATTCTTCTTGTTACCAACTCCGCCATACATTGGCCAGAAGTCGACATTCCCAGTCCCAATCGAGGCTGTGGTCTTGGCGCTGCCAACGACAATGGGGACGAACATGGCGCCATGAGTCTTGTCATCTTTGCCAATAATATCCTAAGAAAACATTAGCTTAGATCATAAAATGAAGCGGAAGTACTTGCCACCTGTCTCTAGGCTTAGTTCCCTAACATCAAGTTAGTAAACTGCCTCTTGCCATCCTTAGAAACATGTTTCGGGGCCCAGTCGAGCTTGTCCTTGAAGTCGGGGTTGGCCAGCTGTCGCTCGAAGATCAGCTCATATGGCTGCATCTATGCAAAAGTTGTGGGTAGCATCCTAGGGGGGTAATGCAAAAGATGAGGGCAACTGCTTGGAAATTAAATTAAATAACACTATTTTCTTGTTTGTGGCTGCTATATCAAGGTATCAGTGATGGGATCAATGACATGTAGATATGTTGATCAATGTGGAACGATTTTTGATTGCCATCAGAGCTTTTGATGACTGCATCTTGCTACATCAACCTTACTTAATCGATTATTAATTTTTTGGTCCCTGGGCTTATAAGTCCCAAATATAATATTACGAATATTTGGCCCAAAGAAAAGGTGATTTCTCTTCCTATATGTATTTTGATATTAGTCATATCTCTTAATTCCAGTGAGAAATTCATGAAATACATCTGTCACAACATCTTTTGCATTACCCCCTTGGGATAGTACCCACATCTTTTGCATAGATGTAGCTATATGTACTGCGAAGATTGCTAGCGGCAACCGATACCAGACCTCATAGGTTTGGGTCATCCACGAGGGGATTTGGCCTGTCTCGGGACACGTGCCGGTGTACTGGACAGAGAACAACTGCCAGGGATATCGTCCTGTTGAATCTCATCAATCATCACATAGAGGTGGCGGTGGTTGTTGAAGAACGGGTCCTCGGGCGGGTACAGCGTGGCCAAGAATTGTGCTAGTTGGTTGATAGAGTCGCCCGCCATCTCTTGTCGCTTGAAGATAAACTCCGCAAACTCGAATTGAACGCAGGTGTCGAACGAGCCCCAGTCGTCCTTGGCGCGTTCATCCAACGGTAGTGGTGGAGCTCCCTGAGGCAGATCGTATGCTTGAGTGGATGGCAGGGACGAACAGCAGTGGGAGGTAGCTGCTTCGGGTTCGCGTCTGCAGGAAGATGGGCAAGGGACTTCCAGTCAAAAGCAGGGCATGTAAACAGCGGCCTGTAAGCACGTTGTCAGCATCAAAGCTTCGGCCAAGGTGCGTCAGAGCCTCACCGCCCAGTAGCGTGCCCAGAGCCAGAGTCAAGCTCGCAGCGTCCGAATCTTCAGAAGACAGCCGCCGGACCGGCGTAGCGTCAGCACGCATGACACATCTTCTAATGGTCCCGCTTGTAAAAATTTTCACTCCTCCCACCATCTCTACACACCCCAGCCGCCATGACACATATGTGCCAGTGTCCCCAGAGGGGATGTGGGAATGCTGACCCCGTTGGCAGGCTCAAATACTGCACTAATTGGATTTATGTGGTATGCTTACCCTGCTCGACAAACACGGCAAAGACATTTAGCAGCATTCGCACATGCTGAGCTCGTGTTTTGGCCACGAAAAACTTGAGGATCGGACGATGTGAGGGTGGGTTAAAAGCTGGTGCGTAACACGTCTTGCCTGCAAAAGCTTCCCCCCACTAAACAATGGCAGGTCATTCTCGTAAGTCTGGTGTGGTCCCGCAGACGGCTATTGAGGTGCGTCTCTCCCATTACTCCATGCCGCACCTGCTAATTTTCATGAATAGCAAAAAACCAAGTCAAAAAGCCAAGCAACCGCAAAAGCACCCACAAAAATCAAAGACACGTCAAGCATGAAGCCCGGCCAGCCGGTTTGTCTGGTTTTCATACACTCTCGCAGTCATATCATCTGTTCAACAGGCCTCTGCTGCCAACCCCGCTCAAATCAACAGCAAAGATGAACTTCCGGAGCGCCTCACGGTTTGTCTTACAGCTGGCCATGGATTAGCACTAATTCGGGCTCCAGATGACCATGCGGCCTGGGCACGCAACAAACCCCGGGCTGCCCAACATGCCTGGTGCCAAACGCACGAGCGCTGAAGTTGCACAAAGCAAGCAAGCTGCTGTCAACAACAAGCTCGCAACTGCCACAAAATACGCCTCAGGCATCAACACTATTGCCCACATCATCGAGGCTCAAACAATGCATGAACAGCAGAAGACGATCAAGACAGCTGCCCATCCTCCATTCTTGCAGAGCCACAAGAAGCTTCGTCTTCATCCGGAGCCAGTCCCTGCCATGCCCGACGAAATCCAAGGCATCATCTTTCTTTTGATTTTGATTCTACTCACTATATTCTTCCTAGCCTTTGTCGACTTTTCAGATGGACGAGGCAGCAGTGATGAGTACCACGATGACGACAAATCCAACGATGTCATGGATGTCGAATCTGATGCCGAACCTGCCACACCCGTAGGTGTAAGATTTAGCCTAGGGTCTAGGAATAGCTAGAATGGCGGTAGCCTAAAAACTCTAAGAAGACTTTTTTATTAATACATCAAATTAATAGATTTGATGCTAAAAATACTATATATAGTAATGCTAACTCCTTTTCTTCAGGCCGATGACCCGGTATATACTGGGGAAGGCCTGTGTTCAGGATTATCCTAATTGGGACCAAAATGATATAGCTTGACACAGTGATCAAAACTACTGATGGCCATCAAAAATCGTTCCACATCAATAATATATATCAAGGATCACAATCCCCATCAAAATTAAGACAATATAAAGGCAGAAAATAAATAAATAAAGAATAATATTATAGTAATTACACTGCTAAAACATAGGGACTAAGAATATCTAGATTTCTAGGCTACTGCTATTCTAGCTATTCCTAGAGCTTTTTAGCATAAATATTACCACTACGGCTCGTCACCGCTGCCCCTGCTTTAAAGTGCAATTCGATATGGCCGATTCATCAACATATCCTGTTGGTGCATTGACGATGTGCATCCAGGCGGTATGTTGTTTTAGACTGATGATCATGCACTAATTCTTGGTAGCTTAAACGGGCCTTCAATCTCTACAGCTCGGGGGCCTATGTCGCAGTTGCTGGCGCCAGTGGGAACTTTTCGAAGACCAACTATGTGTATACCCATCAGCTTGTCAACGGCGTCAACAAATCGGTTCGTCCCTATGCCAAGATTGAGCAGCTGATCAAGAAGCTCCAACCTGGTCACTGGTACCTGTAAGGGCAACCCTGGAGACTTCGACGAAAGCCTAGCAGGGGAGGATCCAAAGCGTGAATAGAAGCTACGGAAATACACGGAGGGACCGACCTAGCAGGGGAGGATCCAAAGAGAAGAAACTCTAAGGGTCCGCCTGCTAGGGCACCAACTATATACTGGTCGTCCGTAACTGCCGACGTAGAGTGCAGAAGGCCTGAGCGGCGTCACAGGCTCTGTCCCAAAGTGATCGTTGGGAGGGTCTTGACGGATCGGTGATTGTGCGGGCGAAGGAGGCCGTGGACGATGGTCGGGGTGGGTCGGAGCGTCCGAGGGGGCGCTGGTCGGATGTGCCTCGGATGCACTCGGTCGGTCCCAAGGAGGCCGAAGCAGGGGTTCCCCTGACAGTACCATGGCCAAGTCCCGCAACGAGGCAGCGGCTGCCGCCCCCCATCGAGCTGTCATCTGATGATGAGTAGATAACGATGTAATTTCCGACTGCTGTTAGTACAATTTAAGTACTGTTATGTTTAGATATGCAAACTACTGTCCCATTTCAATCAACTGTCCGTGTTACGTGTTACAGGCGGTCGCGGCGCGGACACCTGTGGCCTCTGTTATGTGTTCGGGGCCGGATTCCGATCAAAAACAGCCTTAAAAAGGCAATTTTGTGTTCTCGCTGACGCCAGAGTTGCCTTTTATAGTAATCCAGACACCTTGCCTGGCGGACAGCTTGTGTTACGTGTTACATGCCCCGGACAGTTGATCAAAATGGGACAGTATGGTTTATGTTAACAACAAGATAGATTTAGCTTCTTTTTTGGTGGCTTGAGTGAAACTTGATATAGCACTTGAGACCAAGGGGGGCGCAAGATGCCTATCACGGCTATGGGGTGGGGGGGGGGGTCCAGAGCCTAGAAAAAAAACTTTTGTGTTTGGTGTAGGGATGCTTCAAGAGGTACTTAGGAGGCCTTAGGAGGCCTTTCATACGTAGATCTTCCATGTTAAATGCCATTTGATACCTTTGAATGCAGTGAAACCCAGTTTTTTTGGTGAAGTGACTAAACTTGTCACAGTCTTTGATAGCATCAACATATCATCATGATGCAAGAAGCAATACAACTTTATATGAAAGTTCATTTAAAGGCATAGGAACATTATAATAGCCTAGTTACAATTTAATTTAATCACATTTTCCATTTTCAAGACCTCTATCGATCATTTTGATGCGATTTTGATCGCATCAGTCACGTTTTCGTGGGAGATCATTACTATATAAGGCAGGAGGGGGGGGAGGGGGGTCTGAAGGCCCAGAAAAAAAACATTCAGCCCTATGTACATAATTTGAATGTTGGGCCCCCCTTGCTTGAGACTGCTTTTCAGCTTTTTTCAGCTTTAAAAAGGAAGGGACATAACCTTAAAAAGCTGCAAAAGAGCTTCAGAGCTGTTATTGCTTTTGTTGCTTTAACTGCTTTACAAAGCTGCAAAAGCTAAACTTGTCATTTTCCTGATGTGGCCGTCACGCGCACGTCACCAACTCTCACTGTCGTCAGGACGATTGAATCCAGCGTACAGGCGACGGATTCACCGGCGGATCGCCACATGTGCAAAGCCGCTAGCCTGCAACTCGATTATTTGCTTGATCGCTTTGTAGCCTTAGGCCAAGGCCAGCAATCCACCATTAGATCTGCACAACTCTGCACGATGTCGGCTTTTGTTTCATCAAGATTGACAGGAACGCGATGGCTGGTGCAAATCCCTCACACGGCCCTCTAATCCTTGCGCCACATTGGTGAACGAGGTCGTGGAAGCCGTGCCGAGCTACGCGCTATGTCCCCTGCCATGTAATGCCGCAGGCGCCAAATAAACCCCATGAGAAGCCCGAGCTTCGAGGGGAGAGAGAGAGAGGAGGACAGTCTCAGGCTGTGGCAACCACCGGCTCTTCCGGCGATGTCGGGTTTCGCAGCACCCTTGACAAAAATGTGTGCTCATCGAATTTTGAAAATTTCGATGCACGAGAAGCCCGAGCTTTGATGAAGATAGGGAGAGAAAGACAATCTGAGCCAACCACTGGCTCTTCCGGCGATGTCGGGTTTCGCAGCACAAATTTCGAAACCCCTGTGAGTAATTCCCCAAGTAGTATATGTACTTGGTGTTTAGGAATGGGGTCGTCGTCGGTTCTTCCTTTCTGCAACGAGTCCTACTAGTAGTACTCCCCCGGCTTATTCCTTCCCTTCGAGTTCTTGCCGCCAGACCGGCTTTTCTTCCCTTCACTTGTGTTTGCGCTAGATCGCAACTTTCTTCGCTAACTCATACCACCGTGACGTCCCTCTGCTACCGACCAAACGATGCGCTTCCCGACAAGCCTCCTGGTTTCGCTCCTCCTGACACTGCCCGCGTTTGGGCGGCCTACCGCGGCGGACGACGCCGAACTAATGGTGCGCCAAGTTGTCTCTTCCAGTGTATCTTTCCGTCGCATTGAAACGGCTTACGTTATAGGCGCTTGAGGCTCGTGCAGCGCGCAGGGCCGCCACAAAACCCGTACGTCGCTCGCCGCTGGTCATCTGCCCTGTTACTGACTGCGCCAAAAGGAACCCGCCACTGGCACGGCTTTGAAGAAGCGGGTGCGTAATCCCGTGTTTGTCAGCCATACCGCTCACTGCCTCGTACATAGGCGACGAATCCTCCGGCCAAGGCGCCGGCCAAAGCGGCGGCCAAAGCGGCGGTCAAAGCGCCCGCCCAAGCGCCAGCAAAAGCGCCGGTCAAAGCACCCGCCAAAGCGCCCGCCAAAGCGCCAGTAAAGGCTCCAGCAAACGTCCCCGCGAAGGCACCGGCTACGGCACCTGCCGCCAAAGCACCTGCAAAGGCACCCGCGAAAGCGCCGGCCTCAAAAGCTCCGACGAAAGCCACCCCCAAAAAAGCGTGCTCCCAGGCACAGATCGACAAGGCGTTGCAAGCACGATATGCCGAATTCGCGCCAAACCGCCACGAGGCGCGCGCGGGTGTAGTGCACCCAAGCGCGAAGGGCCGCATCACGCTCTTCCACGGCACCGTTCCAAGCAACGCTGCCTCCCTGGTGGCCGGCGTGAACCTCGCGAAGACCGCCCCAATCGGCGACTTCAACCACAAGCC